CATGGCCAGTTGTGTATATGTGTATGTGCGTGTTGCGTTGATTGGGCGTGTTAATGTATGTACACACACCTTGTTTGTGTCCCTTGTGCAAGGCCAGTTGTGTATCTGTGTGTGTAGGTGTGTTGTGATGGTTGTGCGTATCTATGTATGTACACACACCTTGTTTGTGTACCCTTGTGCACGGCCAGTTGTGTATCTGTGTATGTGTGTGTGTTGCGATGATTGGGCGTGTTTATGTATGTACACACACCTTGTTTGTGTGCCCTTGTACATGGCCAGCTGTGTATGTCCGCGGGGTGCGCTGTTTTACTCAGATAGCATGCATTCGAATATGTACTAGCTATGCATGGTTGTACTCGACAACATATGTATATGCACATAAGTGTTCTATCGGTTGTGGTATGTACTAGATATGTATGGCTGTAAACAACTACATATGTATGCACCCATAAGTGTAGTGTCGGTGTAATACCTTTCTCTGTGCACGTACGTACCTGCCACACCCACCAGCTTTTTCATCGGTATTGGACGATGTCAGTTCTGAGAGTCCTAAAACCCGAACAAACACACATACGACTGAACGATATTCTGTATATGCTAGTTGGAAAGTTCGGTACTTTGCTAATCATTTACGACTATATAATTAGGAGCTAGTGCTACTGCAGAGTCTGGTAGTCCCACACGTGTTTACATACATCGTACACACACCCACGTTCATTTATTACACACACGCCCGCTTACATAAATCACACATACCCACACTTGCATATATTATACACCCGCCCACATACATATATTACACACACACACTTGCATATATTACACTCACTCACTCACACTTACATATACTACACACACTCACGCACACTTACATATATTACACACAACACACACTTGCATATATTACACTCACTCACACTCACATATATAACACATACTCACACACACTTACATATATCACACACACACACACTTACATATATTGCACATCGTCTTGCGACTGAACGTATATGCCTCTGCATCTGTATGCGCCTGTCGCCCCTTGAGTGTACGCACCTTCCCACCCTTTAGTTTTAGGGTTTTAGGGTTCCAATCATTTAGTGCTGGTTGCACGCCATGAGTGTGTGCGTCGCATAGCCACTCGCTTAGCTGGTTATTGCGCATGTGTCGCTATCACGCTGAGATATACAAATGGGCTATGGGTTGCAGCACCTGTGTGTGTAACTTCAGGGTGTTGTCTAGATATATGAACACCCTCTCATAGTCCATCCGATGGTATCTGATATGTTCTTTATACAACACGGTGTTTGCAGTGACGGAGTACCTGCGCTATGGCTGAGTGAGGATCTGCTGCACGGCAGCAGTGACAACACAGAGACGTTCAACAACGCAATCCTCAGCTCATCTAAAGACTTTCAATGTATGGGCCTAGAAGTCTGGGGGTTCGCCTAAGTATGCCATTATTTATGACTTATTTATGTATATGTATGCATGTATATATATATATATATATGTGTGTGCGTATGTATATATATATATATATATATATAATATGTATATGTATTATATATATATATATATAGCAGGCTGGTTCGTTTAGGTGGGTATGTAAAGGTACCAAACATCACGCATCTGAGCTACTCAAAGCAGCAGGTCGATGTGTGTGGGGGGGGGGGGTTGGCTATGCAATCCATGCGATATACGCACGGGTGTAAGTATCCCGCCAGCACCAAATCAAACGATCCGAGAAATATAACTCGCATCATTCCAGACCCATTCACCTCTGTCTATGCCGAGAGAGTCATCTCGCTTAGCAGGTGCTGGGTCTACTGTCGGGTGCTATGAGTGCTTAAGTACTGATAGGCCCACCAATCCATCAATCAAGCCTACACCCAGATTGATAGGTTTAAATTTGTCAAAGTGATGTCAGTCCTGGTATTGGGACACTAAGTGTGGGCGAAGTGCCCGATAGATCAGCAAAGTTATACCATACCACTGGCACTACCCGATGTCTAGGCTATACGCGAGACTGGTAGGTAGGAATGACAAAATAATAGGTGTGGGGGGGGGGTCTGCAATAGGGCCATGGGTATGCGTCTCAATTATAATTCTGCCATGGTTTAAAGGTACGGGATCACCGCACCACTCTGTGTTTGTATAGGTGCTCAACGGTACCCGGTACTAAAGGTTGAGTGATGAGTCATTGGGGTCTAGTTGGCCTGGACCAGAGTATCGATGTGTATACAAACGCTAAGGTAGCGAGTGCCGTTTAAACTCCCGCATATCGCGTCTAACGCCTACGCATTTTTCTGGTCCATGTAAATGCCGAGGTCTGTTTTCGGTATGCGTTGATTGGCTTCGTATGGGGTTGACTGTCCCAATTGTCTCCTTATGGGTTTGAAAGACCCGGGAAATGCATAGATTCGGACGGCCATTTTGATTAGACTATCGCTGGACAAACTGCGTTTCTATTGGTCAAAAGTCGCGTTTGGAGTATTGCGTATCTCTTTGGTGGGGGGGATCCACACTGCACCGGGAGGAGCAAGGGCGTTGAGAAAGTGAGCATGTGGCCCGGGGCAAATGATTCGGACTTTGGGAGAATGCCAGGACAGTCGGGTTAGATCAACCCACCGGAACATTCGTAAATCGTGCATGTATGTGCAATGTGCAAGACATGCTTCTTGCAAGTACACAGTCTCCCTTATACTTACACTGATCGTAACATAAAGCAATATATGCTCGTATGTGCACAAGCATACATACCCATCTCGGAGAGCGACATATGGTGATATTCAGAGGATTCACCTCCCAGAAGATGAAGTTTAAAACATCAATCACGTCAGTGTCATTGACATCTAAACCGCACGATACGGTTCGAAACATATACCGGAAAGCAGCACATCAATAAAATTAGATATTCCCGTACTATTTACGTGACAATACCCGCTTATTGACTACCCAACGAGGATCGCACCTGAAAAAAACATCACCCACCCTGTGGTACTGTGATCGGAACCGAACTGCGAAACTGACAGTATATTTAATTTTTGCATGCCTATTAAATTCTATATGAATTCTCCGAGATGGCAGGACCTACGTGTGTGGCAAAATCGGATACTTCTTGTGTAAATACCCTCTTTAACTATATATTATATATATTTATTATTTTACATATGTTATTATATATATATATTATATATATTTATTATTATACATCTATTACTATATATATATTATTATTAGTATTATTATTATTAGTATTATTATTATTATTATTATATATACATAAATA